CTTTGTCGTGAGCGCCCAGGGAGCGCGCCACAAGCGCGAATGATCCGTGCAGGATGCACGATGCAACCTACGTGGCGGCAACCAGTGTGGCGCAATCTGTGCGGTGCAAGCTACGTGGTACAACCTATGTGGTGACGTTAGTGCCTGTCCGCAGTAAGTTGTCAACTTGACAATTCCATTGCTCGCACAAATATCCCACGAACCCACCCGCAAGTTGGTTTGCAAAGCCCAAGCGGGGGCGATTGCAATGACAGCTTGGCGCTGGCTGGCGCATCGCTGCGGCCGCGCTAGCGCGCCCAGGCTCGCGCGCAGATTGGGCAGCTAGTCTGACGCGACGTACGCAGCCGCGGTGGCGGTGACCGCGGAGGACTCCCCAGCACTTCTCGCAGGCCGCAGTGATGCGCGGGCACAGCAGTGCGAGTCGGTGATTCGGGCGGGCGCGGTGTCGTGGCGACGCCGACAACAGCAGACACGATGATAATGTTGCTGTGGGTGACGATAATGAAGACGACGACGGCATGGGCAATGACGGTGCGGATAGTGATCTCGCTGATGACAATCATGGTGCCGTCGTCTCGGTGATGAAAGTTCGGGAAGGATTTCGACATGCGCGCGCGGCCGACGTGCGGGAGTGGGGCAGCATTGTATGATTTGGCAGGGACCGTGCCTCCCCCCCCCCCCCAGCACGCGCGCAAGGGCGCTCGAGTGATCTCGACATGCGCGCGCAAGCGGCCCGTCTGGTCGCATGTGATGCATAGATGGCAATGTTGTCAGATCGCTTGGTTTTAAAATGAAAATGAAGGGGAGACACAAGCAGCGCGTAATTTGTTCATTGGAAATTCAGGTTGCACAAAAAAAACATGTTGTTGCCGCAACATTCAATTTTGAACTCTCTACGCAACCGTCGCTATTCTTGCACAGGTGTTCAAGACTGCTGCATGCGCGCGCGACGACGCGCGCGAGCGAACTTCGTGCCCTTTTATTGCGCAGCTATTTCCGAAACGCGCGCGCCTAAAATGATTCGACCGGCAGGAGGGGGGTCGATGACGATATTGCTTGGGATGTGATGCGTTCACATGTCACATTTCGGCTGGACGGGCGCGCAAACTATATTGGATGCGAAAAACCATACGAAAATAATGATCCGGTAATCGGGGGGCAGATCTGAAGAAGAAAGCACAACATGACCCAGACGACGGGCGGTGGTGGGGCGGCGACGGCAACAGCTTAGCCACCGGAGCGGTGCACCAGCCCAGACGACGGGCGGCGACGAGGCGGCGACGGGGCGGCGACGGGGCGGCGACGGTGACAACATCGCCGCCAGAGCGGCACACAGCCCAGACGACGGTCGGCGACGAGGCAACGCCGGGCGGCGACGGTGACAGCACAGCCGTCAGACTAGCACATCGGCCCAGTTCCTTCTAACAGTGACTAGCCCGCAGGTGCAACCAAGGACTGTTTGGAGAGCATAGATGCGCATGGCATGTATTCTGATCTCCCGTATGGCTTGCCGCACGTGCAGCACAGTGGTGTGCATTCCTCAATGGCCAGCTAACTCAACGCCTCCACTGCACTTCTGTTTGGGTTCGTCCCTGCGTAATGGGTTCGGCCTCCTGTCCCTGGAGGAGCTGGAGGGCCGCGGCGGGGTCCTCCCTCCGGGGGCGCTCCGTGGGCGCCCCCCCGCCTCGCCGCGCTGCGTGCCCGTACCGTCTCGTCGGCACCTCGCGGCCTCGTGGGCGCCCAGTGCGCCGAGTGGGTTCCTCGAGGCCTCGCCGCGCTGCCGCCTGCGCCGCCTCGTGGGCGCTTCGTGGGCGCCTCGTGCTCTGAGCTCACCCCACGAAGCGTGCACCACAGCTTACACCACGTGGCTGGCGCCGCATAGGTCACATCGCAGGTATTACAAAAACTGGCTTGCACCCCATAGTTTCCACCTCCAGTCCACACCGCCTAGCTGACACGACATGGCTTGCACCACATATCGCATAGCTTGCACGACACAACTGTCACCATGTAGTTTGCACCGCGCAATGTTGAACCTTCGCAGTATACTCGCATTGCTTGCGGTCCACGCTGGGTCATATGCTATTGACGGTCCTCTGCCCCCAGGGTGTAATTGCCCAAGCAGTTGTTGCATGGAGGAGGCGTTTACCTGGTCTGTGGAGAACTTCTTCTGGCCCCCGATGCCATTAGTTCGGCCCTACCACCGACAGTCTAAGGCCTATGCCGATCCGGCCGAGCCGATTATATCTTTGGAGGCTATGTTTTTGTCGGCTCGATCCAATTCGACCCCGGTATTCCGACAATCCGATCTGGCCCGATGTTTGCAAGGCATTGTTGTGTTTCTTGGCGCGCCAATCGGATTAGAATCCCTCTCCGATGCGATCCGATGCAAATTCCGACTCGATCCGATGTCCCGATTCGGTTATGATTGATTTTCCCGCGCCCAGTTTGGATGTTGCGCCCCACCATGGGGGCAGGTGTCTGGGCTTGACCCCATCCCCCGCTGCCCGTGCCTTTCAGTTCCCAAGAGCTCCTTTTCTATCCTCCATCCCTCCTTTTCTCTCCCTCCTTTTCTCTCCCTCCTTTTTCGCTCCCTCTTTTTCTCTCCTTATGAATCACTCCTCCCTGTTGCACCCCTCGACGGGTTGGTAGGGCGGGCTGGGCGCTCCGCCGGATACTTCCTCAGCGTGCATGATCCGTCAGCCGAAACTTTACAAAAATGTTCACGAACGGAGGGCGGATCGTTTTCCAGATGTGGCTCTCGCCTTGGCGCCGCGCGCTTTCGTTTTTTTTACACCTCTGCAATAGTCTCGCGACGGGAGAGCTGACCGTTCTCGTTTCTCGAATTCGTGCCGCGCGCAGCCGTCCTAATATATACAAGAGCTTCGCGGATGGAGGGCGGGCCGTTTTCAACACGTGGTTCTCGCTAGCGCGCCGCGCACATTATTTTCGAAACAATGCAAGAGTCACGGGTGGGGAGGGCGGGCCGTTTTCACAATCAGGTTTCGCCTTAGCGCCGCGCAGCCTTCGTTGTGCAATATAGTTTGTGTCATCTATGGGGTGCAGCTAACGTTATAACATCCATGCTGTGCAATCGATGTGCGGTGCAAGATTTGCGGGACAATATGTGTTGTACAACGTGTGTTGTGCAATATGTGTTGCGTAGTACATGTGGGGCAATCTGCGTGGTGCACTCCTATGAGGTGCAATACATGTGGTGCAGTCTGTGTTGTAGGAGCTAGCTTACTCTTTGTATGTGATGCGATCTATGTGGCATGGACTCTGTGGTGCCACCTATGTGGTGAGAAGTAGCGTATTCATGTATGTGGAGTGGGTTACGTTGTGCAAGCTAGGTGGCGCAACCTTTGTGCTATGTGGTGTGGGCTATGTGGTGCAAGCTACGTGATTCCATGGGTGTATAAATATATATACATATGGCAAGAGCTAGCGTACTCACGTATGTGGCGCGAGCTACGAGGTGTAAGCTACGCGGTGCCATCAATGAAATAAGAGCTAACGTACCCATCTACGTGGTCTGAGCTATGTGGTGTAAGCTATGTGGTTCAGTCGATTGCAACCGATTCGGTTGCTAGCGTTTGGATTGCTATCGGTATTACGTCAATCGATCTGGTTGCAGTCGTGTCAGCTATGTGGTGCAATATATGTTGTGGCACCTTTGCTTTGCAACCGATTGCAATCCGTTGAGTTTCAATCGTTTGCGCTGCAAGCGGTTATGCTGCAACCGATTGGATTGCAATGCGCAACAAGGCCCAGGCGACGGGCGGCGACGACGCGGCGACGGGGCGGCGACGGCGACCACATAGCCGCCAGATTGACCACACGGCCCAGACGACAGGCGGCGACGGGGCGGCGACGGCGACCACGTAGCCGCCAGACCGACCACATAGCCCAGGCCCTTCAAGAGCAGTAAGAGTCCCTAGGTGCAGGCGCTTCTTGGGGGATGTGGCCCTCGATTTCGCGCCGCGCGCATTCGTGTTAAATGTGCGCAAGAGCTTCGCGGGTGGCACCCCTCACACGTTTCGTGGCCTCACATGGGGCTCCACCGACAGCTCCGGTGTCAGCGTCCGCATGGCGTACCCGTGCCAGCTTTGGCACACCCGTCACACGCGTCGTGGCCCCAGAGAGAGAGGTTCAGCAAGGACGGTCCCCACAAGTGCGTTACCCACAACTGCACATGGTTGGGACCTTCGGCAGGGTAATGTTTCATCTGACTTCGAAAATCCGCCTGTAGGGGGACATGCCCGACTTAATCTGAATTGCGCCTGCCCATGTCCTCTCCAACTTCTCACAGCAGCAAACCCCAGCCTGCATAAGCTGAGCTGCGCCTCCCAGCTTGCACCCCGCGGAATCCCACAGGGGCGCACCAGGAGCGCACGCGGCAGTCTTACATCCGCCTCGGAAGGGTTTGTAGCCTCACGAGAAAATCTCAGCCAGCATCGATTCCCAAAAAGAAGCATCTACCCTACTCGATTCTACGCTACTCTGTTCTAGTCTACTCGGATCTACGCCGCCCTGTTCTATCAAACTCTACGCTACTCTTCTCTACGCTACGCTGCCCTACTCTGTGTTACCCTACTTTACCCCACTCTACGCTACTCTATTCGACCCTACCCTACCCTACTCTACCCGACTTTACCCGGCTCGACTCTTCTCGATCAAACCGATTATACTCCATCATCTTCACTACTCTATTATACTCTGCCCTACCCTACTCATGTCTTTCCAAATCAACTCTACTCAAATTCAGACTACTCCTATGATGGTCTATTATGTTCCTACCCCACCCTGATAAAAGACTAGTTCCTCTACTCGTTTCCGGCAAACAAAGCCATTCGGATAGCAGGATACGCCATGCGGATTGTTCGATCAATCCCCTCTCCGTATGTCTGCAAGCTTCTCTTTCATTCCCTCTGCCTTTGGGTTTCCATTTGATCGGTCCGACCTTGAACAGTGGTGCCTCTCCGTGATTACTTACCCAGGCCAAGTGTATCAGCAACTCCGCGACCAGTCGCGGCGATTGACGGTACCACGACTTTTTCCGGAGTCGCCGAGGAGGAGCTTGAATGTTGGAGTGTTGAATGAGGTTGACGGGGAGGAAGGGTTTGCCTGCTCGGCTTTACATTTCTCTGCATTCATGTATGCGCATGTGTACGGTGATTGTCCAAGTTATCGGTGTGAGCCAGTCGGTGTACAGATCTTACAATGAGGTTATACCTCTCTCTCTGTCTCCCCCCTGTCCCTCCCTGTGTGTATGTGCGCGTGTCTCGCTCCCTTTCTCACACGCACACACGCACACTCTCTCTCTCTCGTGTATTCGTTCTGTGGTGTACATCTCTGTGCCTAGCCAACGCAAGTGTTGACAGGGAGGCTGGGGATGACATTGAAGGTGCTAAGAAGAGTTCGAGTGGCACGTCTGTGCGGCAGTATCGCGCACGAATGCGACCGTTCGCGTGGATTGCAGCCTGCACGAGTTGTCGCCGAAACGCTGCTACGGCACCAGCCGTGCATGAAGTCCACCGTGTTTCCGACAGTTGGTAACACTAGAAGTATGCAGGGGGAAAGAGAGAGAGAGAGAGAGAGACAAAAAAAAACAAAGCGAGACAAACAACAATAAGAGTGCGAGAGAGAGAGAGACCTCGCTGTGCTCAAAACGAGGACCCAGCACCACAGCATGTGTTGGACAAAAACGATACCGTCGGAGATCTGGGATACCCCCCTCTCCCCGTTCTGCAACTCCCGTGCGGCTCCCCTGAGGAGCCGTGGGACCTGTTCGGCGCCCGCCCCGACGCCTGGCTGGCCACCGAGGGCGCAGACGGCGGGCCGGTCCGCTTCGGCCTGAAGGACGCCCAGGGGGCCCACGCTGCGCCTGCGCCTCCCGCTGCCTACTGCCCCCCCCCTCTCTCGCTCTCTCCCTCCATCCCTCCCCCCTCGCCATCCCTTCGCCTCCTCACCCCCCTCTCTCTCCCTCTCGTCGTCGCCCTCGTCCTCATGACCACACCGTCGCCACCGCCATCGCTTCTCCTCCTCACCTCCCCATCTCTCTGCTCGCGTCCTCCTCGTCCTGCCCCCTCGCCCTGGAGGACCACGACGTGGCGGTCCGGGTGCGGGATGCCCAGGACCCGCTCGCGCACCGGCTGCAGCACCCCAGGCCCCGGCCGCCTCGTCGCCAGCGCCGTCGTCGTCGTCCTCTTCCTCCTCGACCCTCGGCCCCCGAAGCTCGATTCTCGATCCCCCTCCTCGACCCTCGGCCCTCGAAGCTCGATCCTCGATCCTCCTCGATCCTCGACCCTCCTCCTCGACCCTCGGCCCCCGAAGCTCGATCCTCGATGCTCCTCCTCGACCCTCGACCCTCGCTGCTCGCCTCGCGGCGCCCCAGGAGCTGGAGCCCTCGCCGCCGCCCCGCCCCCTGTCGCTTTCGTGCCGGTCACCAGTTTGGATGAGGAGGGAAGGAAACACACAGACACAACGAATCGTCGATTCCCCAGAAAATATGGGGAAATATGGGAAGAGGGGGGAAAGACAAACACCGAGAAAATAAGGGAAAAGATGGGGGATCCTTTTATTTGTGTGCATTGATTTGTGTGTCCCAGGTCCCCTTCATTTGAACAGATTATACCGGATCTCCATCTCATCTCATCCAGTCGGCGCGTCAAATAAGGAACCAAATTGCCAGCAGGTGCCCCAGGGAAATCTTTTATCCCCAGAGGCCCCGCGGACCCACAGAAGCTTCGAGGTACCCCAGGACCCTCAATGATCGAAGAAGCACGTGCCCCAAGATTGCTCACGGCAAGATGTCTTACCGGATATGTGTTACTGCAAAGTGTTCACCGTTTCTGGGCTCCCGCGACCACCCCACGAGCCCAGGGACCGTCAGAAAGCGACTCGGGATGAAGAGTTGGTTCTTGGGGAAAGCCTCTGAGTCCAAGACCCGTGGCGGCGCCACGCGCAGAGGGGGGGGTAGGGGGGGGGGGAAGGCTTCTTAGAAGCACCCTGCTTCTTCGAATTCGCGGGCCCTGTCAGCAGGTGTCGGGCCAGCGCCTTCTCAGGAGCAGCCTCACTCTAAGAAGCCCTCCCCCCTCCCGCTGCCCCCCTCTGCGCGCCGAGAAGTTCCCTTCATGACCCGCCGAGCGGCGCGCCCGCGGTGGTTGTCTTCGTCGTCGTCAAAGTCGTCGTCGTCGACGTCGTCGTCGTCGTGGTCGGCCTCGTCAGCGTCGTCGTCGTGGTCGGCGTCGTCGTCGTCGTCGTCGTCGTCGTGTCGTCTCTCGTGCAAGCGATCGGAGCCTGGCTGCCCGGCCCTGCCCAGGAAGGTGCGGGTTCGCTGCGGGGGGGCCCGCCGCCAGTCGAGGACCTTCCCGCGGTGTATCGTCCAGGGGTTAACCCCCCCGCGCTGTCCTGGCTGTCCTCTCCCTGCGGCTGCTGCTGGTGAAGCACGTTCCACACTGAGGGAAACGTAAGGCTCGAGTGCGCTGGAATGCGGGTTTGCCGGAGCTGTTTCGCGAGCGCGTTTTCGTGGGATGTCTACAGCGGGAGCTCGCGTAGATTGGGTCTCGTTGTTTTCAGGATGCCCCCGTCAGGCCAACCCGAGCCCCCCCAACCCGACTCCTGCGTCTCCCCGACACATCATACGTCATGCTTGTCACCCTGATAGTACTCATCCTGCTCCGTGTTGCTCCTGGTCATGTTACTTCTCCGCGCGTCGTGCGTCGCGCGGTGGCGTTCTCATGGCCTGGGAGGCACCGCCGCTTGCAGCGCTCCGTGCCGGTGTCGCATGTCGCGCTCCACGTGGCACACGTACACCCTTGTGTCGCTTCGTCTCCTGCATGCCACCACGAAGGCACAGAATCGCAACGAGGAAGAGGACGCGGAGGCAGAGTAGCTAAGTAAGAAGGAAAAGGAGGAGAAGGAGGAGGAGGATTTCCCAGGAGGAGGAGGAGGAGGAGGAGAGGGGTGGGGAGGGTTCTGGGCGGAGGGGCGGCAGCAGGCAGAGCCGGGTGTGACAACGCGCTGCCTCTGAGGTTGACCGAGACAGAGAGGATGACAGCTGGCAAGACGTCCTGGCTACTTACTGGCGCCTTTCTCTTCTGCTGGTCCGCGCTGGCAGTGTTGTGGTCTGGGGCCCCGCCGAAGACGTCTGCAGTATCGCAGACGCCAGTCGTGCACCAACGAGACCCTCGATGGGACAGACTCCGCTTCCACCTCATGACGATCATTATCCAAGACGCCTCTGGCGAATCACCGCCGATCCTCCTTGCCTTCCTTGAATCGCCTGTGTGCTGAGATGTCAGTATAGGGCCTCTTTGAGCCCTCCTGGGGCGTCTTGGGGACCCATTGGGCCGCGTTGAGGTCATCTTGGGCCGTCGTGGAAGCATCTCGGGCGCACCACTTGGAAGCCTCTTGGATCCTCTTGGATCCTTTGGGCATTCGTTGAGGCCGTCGCCGATTGTATTGTGCCAACACCTCCATGTTGTAAGGATGTCCCAGGCGAAGCGATTGTGTTAAGCCGATGGGATGGCGTTCGGTTCGCACGGTTTTTTCCGTGCGGCCGGTTGGATTGGCCAAGACCCATCTGCAAATTGTTTGGATGGTATCAACAAGTAGGAACATCCAGCACGCCACGAACCTTTGGTGGCAAGCACAGGGAGCGGCGGATCTAAGATGCCTACGGCAAACCACCGCCGCCCCATGCGTTCTGGAATCGCCCATGCGGCCGTTGTGGACCCCCTTGTGGGAACACGTGTGAGAGGGAGGATGAGAGGGAGGATGCAGGAGGACGTGGAGGACTTGACGTAATATGGCTTATGGGCGCCTCAACCCCGTTAGTGGGCCCAGCTGCCTGGAATTACCACCCTTTGGGGGCGGATACCGCCACTTGCAGTGCAGAATCGCTGCACGTATTCCATTGCATTGAATGTGGGCAGGATTTGTCCATCCCTCTGCCGCCCTGTGCAATGAGTACTCTTGTCCTGTTACACCGCCGGGTGGCTCGCCACCCTACAGGTGCTGGGAGTGCCATGCGCCACAGACGGACGGATCGTCACCGTTGGGCGACCCTGGAGACCTTCTCCGCTGCAGGGCGTCTCCCCGCCCAATGTGGACAAGGTGGGGCTGGCCCAGTAGCGCATGTAAGCCGCAATCTGGGGAGTATCGCACACATCCCTCTGCCACCGCCCCATTCAAGGGGGAGGTAATCGAGAAACGGGCGGATGGGCGAGCAAGTGAGGGTGGGCGGCAGAGCAATAGGGCGAGCATAGGCGCAAGGCCTCAGAGGAATTGAGAACGGAAGCAAGTCAAGGAGGGGGTAAACATTACGCCCAAGGAGAGCAGGACGGTATGTCACGTTAAGAGTGGCAGGGAGGTTAGCTCTGCGGCAGAGTGGATTGTTACCGAAGGGGTGACAAGGCGGACCTGCTCCATGGGATAAGGAGGGGAAACCGGGAAGGGTGGGTGGAGAGAGGGGAAGGGGAAGAAGGGGCGGCAGACAGGCGGCAAACTTGCGAGGCAAAGGCAGAGGCCAGACAGGGCGGCGACCGATGGGAGCGACGGACACCTTTTGCCAAGAGACCAACCAAACAAATCCTGGGCGAAACAGCAGTGAGCAAGGGAACGCCCCCTTAGGGCCCTGAGCCAGCTCATTGTGGCCGCAAGACGCCGGGAGGAACTCAGGGTCCTTGCTCGAACGCTGTGGGGGGGAGGAGGAGGAGGAGGAGGAGGAGGAGGAGGAGGAGGAGGAGGAGGAGGAGGAGGAGGAGGAGGAGGAGGAGGAGGAGGAGGAGGAAGAGGAGGAGGAGGAGGAGTTGGAGGAGAAGGAGGAGGGGGGGGGGAGGAGGAACAGGAGGCCTCTTGGGGCCGTCTTGTGGTTTTCTGGGGGCGTCCTCGGAGCCTCCTCGTGGCCTCTGAAGGGCCTCTTGAAGGCGTCCTGTAGAGGCCATCTCGGGGGTCTATCTGGACAGTTGTGGGTCCTTGTCATGGCCGCTTTAGGACCTACTGCGGCCATCTTGGGAGCTTTTTGGGCCGTCCTCGGGACCACTTGGGCAGTCTTGCTGGCTTTTTCAGGACCCCTTGGGCCGTCTTGGGGCGGTCTTGTGGGGTTCTAAGGCAGTTTTGGAGCGGCGGAAGCGCGAAAGGGCGCGAATGTTAAGTTCACCGGAACATCCAAGGAACATACATGGTTTTGGGCCTTCTTGAGATCCTCCCAGAGCTCTCTGTGGGCCTTTTGGGCCATCTCTGGGCCACCTTGGGACATCGTGGGGCCATATTTGGCCATCTTGGCGACATCTTGAAGCCATCGTGGGCTCTGTTAGGGCCATCTTGGCCGTCTTGGAGGCCATCTTGGGCTCGTCGTGAGGGGGAGACCCTTGGAGGATGTGTTGTGTGCGTCTCTCTACGTGGCCGCCAGCTAGATCGGTCGAGACCCAGCTGGGAGGTTTCGCACCCAAGGCACCCCGCTGACAAATCAACAGGGGGGCGGCCGATCGACGACGCCAACAGTGGGGGCTCATGCCAAGAAACACCCTGCGCGGGTTTCTCGGGTTTTGATGGTTTTGCTGTGGAAGGAGTGACGCTCCCACGCCAAAAATCCATGGACGTCCTGGTGCCTCAGGGTTGGGTTTCTTATGGAATGTTTCTTGTGGACTAGCCTCCACTGCACAGCGAATCGCGGCCGCCCCCCGCCTTTTCGAATCGCCCACGCGGCGCCAAAACTAGGCCAAGCTATTGGACTATGTGTTCCCCCAGCCGTCTTGAACCGCTTGGGGGAACACTTGAGGAAGGAAGAGGAAGGAGGAGGAGAGGGAGGAAAAGGAAGAGGAGAGGAAAATGAGGAGCCCTCAAGAGCCCTCTCTGAGCACTCTAGGGGCTTCATGAGAGCCATGTGGGGTCTCCGAGCGGCCTCTTGGGGGCCTCCTGGGGCCTCTTGGGAGAAAATTGCGGGTTCCAGGGAGCTTCTAAGGAACCTCTTAGCCTTTGGAGGCCGCCTTGGGGCCCGCCCTCGGCAGTCATGGGTCTCTGTGTGGGATATTTGGAGCTGTCTTGGAGGTCTGTGGTGCCGTCTTGGGGCCCTGTTGGGCCGTCTTGCGTGCCTCTTCGGGGTCTCTTGGGCCGCCTTGGGGCGACCTTGGGGGCCTAAGACGGCGGAAGCCCGAAAAGGCGAGAGCGCTAAAATCTCAAGAACATTTAACCAGAATCAATGATTGTGGCCTCCCGGAGGTCCTGTTGGAGCCCTCTGGGGACGTCTTGCGGGCCTCTTGGGCCGTCTGGATGGCATTTTGCGGCCGTTTGGGGCCCATCGTGGCCGTCCTGGAGGCGTCTTGGGATCATCGTGGGCTCTCTTGCGGCCAACTGAGCCGTTTTGTGGGCATCATTTATGCTATCCTAGAAACATCTTGGCTGTCCCGGAGGCGAGAATTTCATTTATTTCCCAACCATCCTGTGGTGTTGGGTCCTCGTTTTGAAGAGACGGTGGCCCGCGTCTCCTCTTCTCCTCCTCCTCCCCTCCTCCCCCTCCTCCCCCTCCTCCCCTCTCCTCCCTGCGTTTCACCCACCCAGTACAGCGTTTCGTGGCCCCATAGGGAGCTTCACCGAAGGCTCCAGTGGCTGCGTTCGCATGGTGGCCCCGGCCCATTTTGGCGCACCCCTCACGAGGATCGTGGCCCCATAGGGAGCTCCACCGAAGGCTCCAGTGGCTGCGTTCGCATGGTGGCCCCGCCTCATTTTGGCGCACCCCTCACGAGGATCGTGGCCCCATAGGGAGCTCCACCGAAGGTTCCAGTGGCAGCGTTCGCATGTGGACCCCGGGCCATGTCTGCACACCTCTCACGAGGATCGTGGCCCCATAGGGAGCTCCACCGAAGGCTCCAGTGGCAGCGTTCGCATGGCGGCCCCGGGCCATTTCGGCACACCCCTCACGAGGATCGTGACCCCATAGGAGCTCCACCGAAGGCTCCAGCGGCTGCGTTCGCATGGTGGCCCCGCCTCATTTTGGCGCACCCTTCACGAGGATCGTGGCCCCATAGGGAGCTCCACCGAAGGCTCCAGTGGCTGCGTTCGCATGTGGGCCCCGCCCCATGTTGGCGCACCCCTCACGAGGATCGTGGCCCCATAGGGAGCTCCACCGAAGGCTCCAGTGGCAGCGTTCGCATATGGGCCCCGCCCCATTTCGGCGCACCCCTCACGAGGATCGTGGCCCCATAGGGAGCTCCACCGAAGGCGCCAGTGGCAGCGTTCGCATGGCGGCCCCGGGCCATTTCTGCACACCTCTCACGAGGATCGTGGCCCCATAGGGAGCTCCACCGAAGGCTCCAGTGGCACCGTTCGCATGGCGGCCCCGGGCCATTTCGGCATACCCCTCACGAGGATCGTGGCCCCATAGGGAGCTCCACCGAATGCCCCACTGGCAGCGTTCGCATGGCGGCCCCGGGCCATTTCGGCACACACCTCACGAGGATCGTGGCCCCATAGGGAGCTCCACCGAAGGCCCCACTGGCAGCGTTCGCATGGCGGCCCCGAGCCATTTCAGCACACCCCTCACGAGGATCGTGGCCCCATAGGGAGCTCCACCGAAGGCCCCACTGGCAGCGTTCGCATGGCGGCCGCGGGCCATTTCGGCACACCTCTCACGAGGATTGTGGCCCCATAGGGAGCTCCACCGAAAGCCCCCAGTGGCAGGGTTCGCATGGCGGCCTCGGGCCATTTCGGCACACCCCTCACGAGGATTGTAACCCCATAGGAGCTCCACCGAATGCGTCAATGGCAGTCTCCCTCCTGGCTCTCAGAACCCTTTCCTGCTTTTGCTCTTCGGTCAGGGGGACGCCGTCCTCGTGGTCGTCGGCGCCCGCGAAGACGGCCACAAACGTGTCCCTGAGCATGTCGGGCTCCGGCGGGAAGCCGTGGCCACATAGGGAGCGCGGGCGAAGATTGTATTCACAATTGTTGTATCCACAATTGCGTATGGTTGGGTCCTTCGCCAGGCTAATTTCCCCGCCTTGCGCGTCCTTCCAAGTGGCCGGCGCGACCGGCCAAGACCCAACAGGAACCGTCTCGAAAGGACTGACACCACTCCGACTTTTTGCGCGCCGTGCACCCGGGGGGCGAGCGACGGGGGGAAGAGAGAAGGATAAAGCCTTCTCAGAAGACGGCGTGACTTATCAGAGGCCCTCGCGTTTTCTGAGAGATGTCCTGCGCCCCCAGGGATGTTCAAGGAGAGGCTGTATAACGAACGC